CACGCCAGGCCCGGCGCGGGGCGGGGCGGGGCGGGGCGGGGCGGCGCAGGAGAAGACTACATCCCCCAGCCTGCCCCGGCCCGGCTCCCGGCGGAGGCAGCAGCGCGGCGCAGCCCGGGGGGTCGCGCTGCCCCCGCCCCAGGTAAAGCGTCTGCGGGAAACTTCTCCGATCCGCTTTATGCAACAAGGGGTGGTGGGGGGCTGGCTGAGGCCGGGGTGCCAGGCCTGCATGTGCACTGCATGCAGGGGATGCTCCTGGGGGGGAAGCAGGGCAGGGGATGCCCATGCCTTCCCCCACCCCCCGCTGTCTTTTGGGGAGTAGGATGTCCTCCCCTGGGCACTGGGGCATGCCCATGCCCCTGCTCCTTGCTCACCAGGCTAGGCTGGGTCCCTGCCTGCGGGGTGATTTTTCCTCCCTGTGCCCTCCCCTTGGCACCTGCTGCTGGCACCCTCCTTTGCCAGGACCCCTGCCTCTCTTTGCTCAGCGCAGTGGGGGGATGGGGGGTGTTCGGGGGCTCCGGCCCCTGGCTTGCTTGCCTCTTTGTTTTGGGCCGGCCTCTAAACAGGGAGGGGGTGGGGGCAGTCGTTTGGCTTGGCAGCATGCACGCCTGTCCTGGCCTTGGACTTGTGGGCTCCTCTCCCTCCTTCGGCTTCTCAGCGTGGTGCGGAGGTGAGTGTGGGGAGGAGGGGGGCATTTTCTACATTTTGAGGTAATAGTGAGAGGAGAAAAAAGGCCCTTTCCCCCACGAGCAGCCTCTGTAAGCCCAGATCTTGAGGCTGGCTCAGAAAACATAAGGCTCCCTTGCCCCTCCCCCTCAAATAAACCCTCTAATGATGATCATCAGGGGATGCACCCTGCTCCAGGTGTTGCCCTCGCCTCGGAGCAGCTGGACTTGTGCACCCTTCTTTTAAACTTCCTCCTCATTTTAACCACCGTTTCAATAACAGGAGGCTTCTTCATCTTCTAGTACTTACCTGGCAGGGGAAATACTATGACCACCAGGGTGGTTTTCCTAGTTGCACCCAGGGCTAACCACTTTTCTGGCACGGGTTAGTACCTGTGGACATAATGTATGGTAAATGTCCCGCTTGCTGCTCTAGTGGAAGATCTTGGCTTTATGCCCACTTCATGGAAAGGGGGGACTCCTCCCTAACTTGCTCCTGCAGCCATATGGCTGAGGGCAAGCGAAACTCAGGGGCATCTGAACCCCAAGCCTCTGGGCTTGGCCCTGCACATAGGATGCCTGCCAAAGGATTTGGGAACATCTGGAGTGGAGGATGTTTGCCAGTAGTAGGGCCACTTGCTTATGGTTCTGGACTGACTCACGGATTTGGACTTGATTTGGCTGAGTTGGATTGGAACACGAAAAATTCTCCTCCTCTTCTAGTGTCAGGCTCAGGGCCATGGATGATGTTTGAAGGGGTGGATTGGGCCTGGTGTGAGCCAGCAGAATGAACTATGGGTCCATCCCTCCTTGTGCCTAAACGCCAGTCCCATGGTGGCAAAATGCAAGGGGAGCCAAAGTTGATTCCCTGTTTGGGATCAGATTCCTAGAGGTGTGCAACTTTTTAGGCACTGATCTCTTTCAAGGAGGAGTAGAGTTGTCTTCACCAGAAACTTCCAACTCACCAGAGAGAAAAGGTGGCCAGACTCTGTTCACTCACCCTTTCAGCATCCACCCTCTGCCGCTGTGGGGCACAGGATACTGGGCCACAGAATACTCTGACCCAGTAAATGGCAGCTCTTATGTTCTTGTGCTGTTATGTTCCTGGCTTCCAAAAACTTAGGTGTTTTAGATCTGGGAGGGATTCATACCTGGTTTCCAATTTTGCTAGCATCCTTTTTACACATGGCTTCAATTCATTCCCTTAGAAGAAAACCTCGCATTGGGTCTGTGGATGGGTAGCCT